GAGTCGTCTAAAACAGAATCGATGATCTGTTTTTCAGTCAGGGGCCATTTCTTACCATAGGTCGGTGTCGGTGTCTTTTGTGATTTGTCAATAGATTTTAAATAGTCTTTAATAGTTGGGTTCATTTTTTTCTGGTTCCCCCACTCACATTCCCACATTTCTACGACTTTAACGTCAACAGTATCTGTAAGGTACTTCGTAATTTCGTTTGTCTTTTTAAATAACTCAGTCAAGGGTCTGTTACTAATGGGGTTTACTGTTCTGTCTTTAGTTAAAGGGCAGTCAGGGTGTCCATGAAAGAGGCAGCCATGGAACTGATAAACGGTTCGAGTGTTCGCGTCCCACCCGTCTACTCTTATATGGCGAGATCCTAAGCTAACTTCGCCCCCATTAAACGCGGTTTTTAAAGTTACCCCCTTTGTTTTTGAAACCCACGATAACCACTGAAAGGCCTGTTCCCCATAATGATTCGTTTTACGCGGTCTAAACCCCTCCTCACTATTTCTAATAATCGGAAACCCCGTCGGCATTTTTTGCATTAAAGACCATAAATAAAGCGCGTTTGCGTCGTACCCCTTAATTGCCTGTACCACCTTATTACTATTCCCCCTAATGAACGTTTCACCCTTTTCGTGATGTCTATGAAAAATAATGGAGGGGCCCCCTACGATATTATTTCGGATTGTTTTATGTAACTCTGATTCGCGCTCGGAACACAAAGAAAAAGAAACGTTTTTGGGAAGTGTTTTGAATAAGTATTTTAAGGTTACCCCCGGGACAGAAATCGCATCTTTAAAAATATCAACCCCTAAATTTTTGTAAAAATTAGTTTGCTGCTCGAGCGCTTCGATAAACGGTTTTACATCGATATTGTTATACCAAATAAGATAATCTTTAAACGTTTGCATCCCCTTCTCTACCCAAATTTGCCTACACGTCGCGTACTCCTCGTCTGAAATGTTACAATTTTTTAATGATGAAAAAAAGGCCGAACGCGGAGGTAAAGACGTTTCATCTAAGACGGCTAAATTTTTGACATATTCGTACGGAAAAAATCCCTTGGTCTCTTTAACATTATATGCGGCGAGGTATTTACTATAGCTAAACCCCGGTGCTAGATAATTAACTATATCTAAGAATTTTAATTTATTTGTTGATATACACATAAAATTATTATTTCTTTTAACTACATATTTAAACGGTGTTTGTTTATCTTCTACGTCGTCTTCATCATCGTTACAACTAGATCTAGGTCCCTCCTCTAACCCCTCTTCTGTGTTTGAATAAGCTAAAAAGTACTGAATAAAATACGGCTTAACGAGATTTATATCATATTTTCCTGAATTAAACCCTATAACCGGCATTTGTCGCAAATACTCGTCTAATCTACCGCTAAGAAACCTATCAAACCCTTTGTCGTTCGACTTATTATCACTACCCCTAGCTTTAGGTGGAAATAACTTCCTGATTTGCTTAAAAACAGGCTCGAACTGTTTTTTCAAAATGCCATAAGCTGCCTCGGCGATTATGTGGAGTCTGTCAATAACCCTAGTCACTAATTCTTGAGGGTCACCAGTCGAAATAAAACAGATGGGTTCGAGGAACCCATCTACGTTTGAGGCTACAGAGCAAGACAAAGGCACGTGTTTGGCTACGCTTTTTGTAACTCTACCTAACGGGGGTAACTCGGTATGGTCGAAATAGCATTCGAAATCGTAAGTTGCTCGGAAGGGATAAACAAAGTTACTATCTACAACTAACCCATAGGACGCTAAAAACTCCCAGATTGTTTGCTGTGTGTGATAAAGCCCTCCCTTATACCTATCTACGGGTTTCCCCCCATTACACCCTTTCGCGTGTCTGTTCATTTGTTGAACGGTGGGCCATAATTTGTTACACACAGAACATGCGAAAGCGTGACCCGCCCCACCTATATTATTAATGTACATAAACTGATTTTGAAAAAATAAAAGATATACAGTCTCCCTAAACCTATCACTACTTCTAAGTTTCGGAGAAAGGATCTGGTCTTCGTTAAATTCAAAAATCTCAATATTTACACTAAAACAGGACTCTAAGAGGGGAATTTCGACCAACCTAACCCCGCTAAAATTATCCAAGGTCCCGAGACCTTGGTGCGCTTGCCACTGTTTCGCGAGTTTTAATGTTGGTTTTCTGAGATTTATTATGGATGCTCCTAAATGTGTGGCTAAACATCTAAAAAAGGAAAAATTGTCTGTGTAGGGTTTGGAATGGGAATCCTGTTGTAACATGTTGATGGCGTGATTATGTTTAATAAAGTCAGGAATGTCTGTAAGAAGGCATGTGGGTGAAGCTTTGTCTGTGGTCGGGTGTAAGTCTACTGCATCTCCCCTAAGGTCGTCTACCGGAAAAATAGTGGTGTGTGAATTAAGGTTACTGTCATTGTTAGTCTTTACGCGTTTGTTGTTTGATATGTCGTCATACGTCGTGTGTCGTTTTAAGGAGTTAGTGTTGGTCGCAGTGTGGTCTGTTTGACTCGCTGATGGGGGTTGGGCAGTATGTGTGTCGGTCACTAATGTGGGTTGGTGTGTTTGTCTGTTGGTTGCTGATGGGGTGTCGGTCGGTGATGTTTGGTTGTTGTGTGCTTTCGTAAAGTGTCTTGTCAAATTGTCAAGTCGTGTAAATACTTTCCCGCATGATGTGCAGGGATGTCTTTGTCGTCCATGTGCAGAGTCTTGGTGCCTTGACAAGTGATGTTTAAGCGTGAATACCCGCTCGCAGATCTCGCATGTGAAACGCCTTATGGCTGGGTGGCTGGTAGACTGGTCGGCTTCCATTATTGATGAAGTGTGTAGTAGTCGGATGCTTGGGTAGGTCGCTGGCTGTAGAATAAAAATAAATACATAAAATAAAAATCATAAAATAAAAAACATACTTAAAACAAAATTGAAAATTGAAACGTACCTCTGGGTTTGAACGTCTAAGCTGAACGTGTAGTTAACTGTATGTGGAGATCCGAAGTGGTGTAGTTGGATGTAGTTGGATCTTTGGTTCAGTGGATGCCTCAGGGATGGGTAGGTAGCTCACTGGTTGCCTTGTTGGGTCGGTTGTACACTAAAAAGGAATACAGTTGCCTGCTTATTTAGATACATATTTATTTAAAGGGTATTTTAATGGGGTTAGCGCCCTTAAAACAAAAGTAATATTAACCTTACCTCGGTGTACGATTCAAAAGTAAAGTAATTAATTAAAAGGTATTTGAATGGGGGTTAGTTCCCTTAAAACAATACGTACTATTAACCTTACCTCGGTGTACGATACAAAATTAAATACATGTGCGTACTTATTTAATAAGATTTGATTAAAGGTATTTTAATAGGGTTAGCACCCATAAAACAAAAGTAATATTAACCTTACCTTTAATAGAATAAACACGCACAAAAGATGTGGTCCGTGTAGGGTTAGGTAGATGTGATGGTTGGTAAAGCTGGCGTGGGTTTAGTCTTAGGAGTCAACAGAGGTCGCAGGCTGGATAAGTCGCGGTGAAGCTTGATTTGAAGTCCGAAGTCGAAGTGTTTAGAACACAATTTTCGCGGTCATTTATACGATTGCTCAGCGTAATTACACCACCAGCTGTCGCACAGCAGCTGTTGCATAATGACCTACGTGGTAACAGATGTTCCCACACTTAACGCGGAGAGGCACTTAATGTACGTCGTTAATTACCATAACCCGTCAACCGAGCAGGGAAAAAAGCCATTAATCATCATGACCTATCAAACCGAGCGGGGAAAAATCACTGATGCATAATAATAAATGTAATTAGGCGGGACATCATGCTGTGATGTCCCGTGGGTTGGATCAATATAATACCCATTAATCACTACGATGCGCGTGTCATGGTAACATCTGTCGCCACACTTAACGCTGGTTTTGCGTTAATTATCATACCCCCCGGTGGGATCGGGTCGGCGAACAACGCATAAAACGCATGATGCGTGACTAACTTTAATTATATGGGACACCATTTGATGGCCCAGCGGCTGCGATCAATATAAAGCCCATTAAAAACCGCTCAGCGTGTGTCAACAAAGGATCGCGGATCGATACGTAACAGCTGTCGCCTGATCGTTATCTTTAATGGATGTTATTCACAAAGTACACGGCTAGTGTTAGTCTTTTATTTAAACATACATACATTCAAACAAACCAACAAATTAAACATCAAAGAAAAGAAATATATTAAATAAATAAATAAACAAAGTAATTAAAATCAAATTACGTAACTAGTTAATAATAATTTAACTAATTATAAAATAAAATAAAATTAAAAATAAACAAAATAAAAATAATTAAAATCACATTACGTAACTATTGAATAAAAATTACACAATATAAACAAATAAACAACAAGTAAACAAACAAAGTAAACAATTTAAAATCAAACAAATAATCAAATTACGTAACTCGTTTATAAAAATTAATTAAAATTACAAAATTAAATTCAAACTCATTAAAATCCAATTACGTAACTAGGTCAATAAAAATTAATTAAAAAGTAAACAAATAATCAAATTACGTAACTAGTCAATAAAAATTGATTAAAAATTTAAAAAACTCATTAAAACTCATTAAAAAACGCATTAAAATTACGTAACTAGGTCAATGCTTACATCACAAAGTCACTAATTACGTCATAATGTTACTAATTACGTCACAAGGTCACCAAAAGGTGACCTACTTCCCCACCACCTCCGCCAACCCCAGTTGGGGTAGTATTTTACTATATGTCTTTGCGCCACCCCCCACATCCTGCTCACCCACCCTTACCCTCCCGATGCGCCAGGCTGGGAGTATTTTACTATATGTCTTTGCGCCACCCGCGCATCCTGCTCCCGAGTATTTTACTATATGTCATTGTTCCTCACCCTCCCCACCTCCGCCAAAAATGATAACCAAAAGCGACCTAATATACTACTTTCGATCCCTACACTACTCTCCATCCCTTCACCTTTTTCTCAATCTCCCTTTCTCTTTATCTCCCCACCTTTCTCTCCGTCTCTCCACCTTTCTCTCCATCCCCCCTCTCTCCACCTTTCTCTCCATCTCTCCACCTTTCTATCCATCTTACCGCCTTTCTCTCCATCCGCCTTTCTCTCCATCTCTCCACCCCTCTCTCCATCTCTCCACCTTTCTCTCCATCTCTCCACCTTTCTCTCCATCTCTCCACCATTCTCTCCATCTCTCCACCTTTCTCTCCATCTCTCCACCTTTCTCTCCATCTCTCCACCTTTCTCCATCTCTCCACCTTTCTCTTCACCTTTCTCTCCATCTCTCCACCTTTCTCTCCATCTCTCCACCTTTCTCTCCATCTCTTCACCTTTCTCTCCATCTCTCCACCTTTCTCTCCATCTCTCCACCTTTCTCTTCACCTTTCTCTCCATCTCTCCATCTCTCCACCTGTCTCTCCATCTCTCCACCTTTCTCTCCATCTCTCCATCTTTCTATCCATCTTACCACCTTTCTCACCATCCACCTTTCTCTCCATCTCTCCACCTCTCTCTCTCCATCTTTCTATCCATCTCTCCACCTTTCTCTCCATCCACATTTCTCCCACCCCTACACCTTTCCCCCATACCCCACCCCCCTCCCCTCCCCACTAAACCCTCCTAATAACCCTGTTGACACGAACATTTCATCCTCTTTCATTTACTTTAAGACTTCCCGTCCCCGGGTTCTGTCGGGTGAAAGTAATCCCCTGCTCGCTTTGTTGCTCCTGCCCGTACCGTTCCAATCGTCTTAGTCCTGTACGACATCTAAGACGCCGAGACCGGCAGAACCGGCCCCATGTTCCAGGGGCCGGCATTGTTGGTATCGATCTACGGTACACGGAGGGAAAATTTCATCCTGGTTGTTTTGTTCAGATGTAGCGCCATCTTGGACAACCTCATCCCACACACACCAACCACACATCCTAGCAGCAACCACATGTAGCGCCATCTTCGACAACCTTATCCCACACACACCAGCCACACAACTTGACAACAACCACATGTCGCGCCATCTTCGACAACCTCATCCCACACACACGAACCACACAACCCGACAACAACCACATGTAGCACCATAGTTGACAACCTCATCCCACCCCACACCAACCACATAACCGACAACAACCACATGTCGCGCCATCTTTGACAACCTCAACCCACCCATCACCAACCACACATTCCAACAACAACCACTATTCTACTCCCACTAGTAACATCTAATCAACCCTTACCATCCCCCCAATCTACATTCCCCCACCCCATCAACCAACCACTCCTTTAAATCAACCTATCGCTAACCCCAACTAACATCCGCCTTCCTTAAATACCTCCCCCACCCTCTCATATAACAGCCAGCATTCACCACCTTTTCCCATCACCCACGAACCTATACCCCACAAACACCAATCAACACACCCCCATACCTCAAATCTACACAGTTCATTGTGTCCTATGTTTCCTACATAAATCGTCGTTGATGCATGAAGTATGTCTTGTTGTCATTTATACACAATACATAACCTTGTATAAATATTTTCAGAGCAAAGCACAAATAGCACACACTAAATATAATGTACACACAGGAATGTGTTCGTCCCAGGGAATGATATTCCCCACCCTTACGTCTCAACTCCCTATCCTACAGCACCGATCCCCACCCCATACCTCACTATGGGTCATTTGAAGTCTACCGCCCTGCTAAAGCAATTCTTCCACCAATCGAGCATAAGGAGTTACTGGCCTTGATCTAAGTTTCTTCACAGTATAGTAATAGTGGATTAGACTGGCTCAGAAATATGGGCTACATTGTCTGTCATGGGCAGCTCGATTGTTTGAATGTAGGAAAATTATGTTTTTAAAACTATTTTCACTGTTGCGTTACACCTGGTGCCGCACGGGTTTGGTGAAGTGTATACAGTTTTCAACTAAATATCTATGTGTGCATGGGAACGCTATAGAACATCTACATAACATTAACCTTAACCACAACCACAACGACAAACCCAAACTTAATTATAAACAGAAACATATCCCAATCACATTAACTATTCTTACCCGTTATTCCTTATCACTTTTCTTATCCCTTTCCCTCATCCCTTTTTCCCCATCCTTATGTCTATTGTTGCAGCTATCCCTATCCCTTTTTTAGATATTGATGGTTAGCAAGCTCCGTGGAGTAATCCTGGTTTAAACTAAGAGTACTTTAAATTTAGTCTGAAGACAGTTTTAATAACCTTTAAGATGTAGATCCAGAGTTTCTTTCAGGCATATTTTCGGAGACGCAATGCCCCCCCCCTCCCCCCCCCCCCCCCCAGCGAGAGCACGTCTACTGTAACCCCGGACTAAAGAGATGAATACATAATTTATAAAGACACTATAAGTAAGCTTGTAAACAGTGTCCATCAGCTCCCCACTGGAACTTTAATGTGCCGCTCTTTGGAGAAAAATGTACGAAAGAAACGAGGGTTAACTGAACTGATATATATATATATATATATATATATATATATATATATATATATATATATATATATATATATATATATATATATATATATACCAAGTTCAGTCATTATTTAACTGGTTATTAGTTTGAATTTAGCTCTGGCTTCCAATAGCGTACAAGCTGTCTGAGGTCAAATTATTCAAAAATTGAATAGATTACAATGTTCTACACCAAATACATGCCATTATGTGGTGTGGTCACGGTTTTACAGCGCGTTCATTCATGCGTGTCCCTGTGTTAACGGTACCTTGCGACTGTGGTCACGGTGTGGCAGTGAACTCACGCAGACCGACACGCCCCTCCAGACATTTGACTTTTGAATCGAGGGTGGCGTTTGTCACGGTACGCTGCACATGGAGGGTCATGGAGACAGCACTCTAATTCCCCCCCCCCCCCTCCCTCCCTCCCTCCCTCCTCACCCACACTACACCCCTCCCCAAAAAATGATCAGCTTTTGAATTCATAGAGGGGATGTTTTCGCGCACTCTCACACAAATGACGCCAGCTAGAGCTATCATACATTTCACTCCTCCCCCCCTCCACCACTTGAATCGAGACGTTTGGTAACGAGGCTATGTCGCTAAAATGTCGCGGCAAGGGGACTATTTATCCCATCCCCGGGGTCCCTAAGGATGTGTGTTCAAGCCCCCAATCCCCATCATCACACCCCTCTCAAATATTTTTTAATGTTTTTTCGCTCTTCGTACACAAACTCCCCCCCCCCCCCCACGCCCCTCCGGAAAACGCAATGAATTCACTTGACGTGTTTGCTCACCAACACCCTCCGCACCCCCCACCCCCCACACCCCTAATGAAAGCACTCCACCCACCACCCCTTCTCGTGTATAAATAATCTCCCCAACCTCCCCCTCCTCCCTTAGCCGTCTCATGAGTTTGACTTTTCAGCCATTTTTTTTTCCTCCATAACTCCAAGCGCTCCAGTGGGACTTGGGGTGAAGGGAGATAATTAAATTAAACATTCATATTTTTTACTCTCTGGGTCTGGATGAACGAGAACACGTTGATGGCAGTGAAGCACCAGGCGAGTTTTGTGACGCAGCTAACCCACATAAATATCGACCACTTCAATGGCCACTGCTTCACTTTAAGGCTAATCCTATTATGCTTGAGGCTAATTTTCTCAGGTTAAAGGCTAAATTGTTCAAGTTGATGGCTAATTCTATCAAGTTTTAGGCTAATTCCTTCAAGTTTAACCCTAATTCTAACAAACCGAACCCTAAGTTTATAATGTTTAACCCGAATTCTATCAAGTTTAAATATAATTCTATTAAATTTAAGGCTCAATATATAGTTAATTTTATTAAGTTTGATACTAATACTATCCAATGAAATGCTAATTCTTTCCAGTGTTTCTTTCAGACTTTTTTCTTCGGGTGGGGGGTCCACATGAAGTTTTTATGCGGGGGGGGGGGGGGGGGGGGGGGGGGAAGAGGGCGGACTAAATTTTCCGGGGGGGGCGACGGGGGACAGACACTGGTAAAAGTATACATGTTCTATATATAAATACAAGGGACGCAGTTGGCTTTCTTTAGGGGCAGGGAGGGGTGGAAGAAACTCTGATTCTATCATATGTAGGCAATCATAAATAGATTAGGTTTAAAGCTATTTCTATCCAGTCTAATCTACTATGGTTCAAGTATATCCCATTTCTTTCAATTCTGTTATTGTTGCTATTTTCTTGCATAAAGGACAGATGAATTGAATAATAAAATAACGTTTAATCTCGAGAATTAAAAGAATTATAAAATAAATTTTCTTGAATTTCCTTCCAAGGAAGTAACAGCTATAACAATAACAGTAAACATTCTATCGAAGATAAATTTCTAAAAAGAAAATCAGTACGTTTGTGAAATAAGGTTTTTATATTATGTGTTTTCTTCCAATAATTATTCGTTTAGTTCAATATTATGCAAAAAAAAAAACATTCCTTAATTCGTTACTGTACCGGAACAGCGTTCACATACATAAAGCAATTAATCATAGGTTGTTGTTTGTTGTTTTTTATGTTGTTTTTTGTGTTGTCGTTGTTGTTTTGTTGTTGTTTTTTTTTTGTGGTTTTTTTTTGTTTGTTTTTGTTTTTTAGGTTATTTATTTTTGTAAAAAATAAAAATAAACAATGTAAAGAAAAGTTAATTTACTCGATGCAAAATAAAAAACCGGTATTAAACGGGAATTGCCGAAGAATATTTTTACATCCCCACCATACAATAGCTTATCCTTGAGAGTGGGCTCAAAATAATAAGGGAGAAAAAAAAATCTGAAAATCTTAATTTTGTTCAGACGACCATAGCCATTCCTGCGATTACCCGCACGTTGGACGCCACCAACTCGACCCCCCCCCCCCCCCCTCATCAGCTTATTTATGTTGCTAATTATAGCTTTTTACCCACACAGCCATCACACAGGCCAGCTCCGCTCATACCAGACTGATCTAAAACCCCGCGTCTCGGTAAACACGTTACCCCAGTTTGGCTCTACCCCGGGTGTCTTTGCGTTTTGGATTGAGCGGACCTGTTTGAATACACGGAGAAATTTAATCCCCGACCCCCGGGCGATGACGGCATCTTGGTTTTGTTGCCGCTGCCCGCACGCGGCCAGTGTCACGCCGCTTAGGCCTCGTAAAGCACAGAGTACAAGTGTTCCACGTGGGCTCATATTCATGAATACTTATAAGCCATTTGTGCGCTGTCTGCTTAAGAACTATTAAAGGATTTATGTTCCTGTGGACGGACCGCCACCGGGCAGGATTCGGAATCGACGTCGGATCGAATTTTCGAGGCGGTACGGCATGATAAATCAAATCACATCACATTTTTTATATAAGGAATAGGAAATATTTTTAAATTAAATTCTGTAAATCATACAACAAATTTGAATTTCAAAGTTCTAGAAGTTTTATTACCGTTGTGAAATA